AGGTATTGTATTCTCTTAGTACTTTTTTAGAGATGTGTTGTAGTAAACTGGGATGTTTATGGGCTGTGAATGTCTGTCTTGCTGTTTCACTGTGTAGAACTCTTAAGTTCAATTCTATTAAGATCTTGACAATTCCTCTTCCATACGGTGTCTGATTAACTCTAAAGAAGATCCTCTTCTCTGAAGGTTTCTTAAGCTGGTGTCTTTGTCCTTGGAATTTTAGAATGTCACTCTGACATGCCCATGTGTGTGACTTTTTTCTTCACTCCTTTGGAACATGAGTCTCTTGTCTGAGAAGCCTCACCGTGTCTCTGTCTCCCGTTTTGTGGAGAAAGGTTCCCTGTCTTTTCAGGTTCTCATGAGACTGTCTCATTTTCCCTCGTGTCATGGGAGATTCTCTAGCTTGTTGGTTTGGATCTGTTCTCCCCAAGGTGGAAGGAAGAAAGGTGCAGGCCTAGTGCACTCACCTCCATCTCCCTGGCACATTTAGTCTCAGGTAAGCAGACACCTGTGGAGCAGAGACAGTGTTTGCAGTTCCTGGTCGGGTGCTGCGCCGTGGTCAGGGCCCCAGGGCTGGGCCTGCTTCCACCATAGCTGAATTTTGTGTTTGGAGGAATTTCCAGTTTCTGGTCCTTCTGAGCCAGAGAAACCTTTTCCTTATGGATAGGAAGGTGGGACTTTGCTCAGGACTGATCACTCGGTGACCCTGGCTGTGGTAGATCTGTACTTTGGGTGCAGTGGGGCAGGAGTGCTGGCCAGCCACAGGACTGCCACCTGGATTGCTTAGGTGAACAAGGCGACCCTGCTGCTCTGAGGCTGTTGGTGGAGCATCCTGAGCAGTGGTCCTGACCTGCCTACCATGTGGAGGGAGGTCTCTCTGGCTCAGAATGACCCAACCTCTGTCCTGGGGTAGACAGACCCTCTTTCTGAGGGGCTTGCCCTAATACCACAGATAGGGCTCCCCACCCTGCTAGGAGCTCCTTCAACACCATCTGTACCAATCACAAATCAATCCTTGAAAGAAACCGAAGAACCATCTAGGTTTCTCTCTCATTTTGAAACATTTTGGGACTTAATCTTAGAATGAAAGTCACCAATAAAACCACTGAATTAATTTAAGAGTTTAGGCCAAAGTAGAAGCAGCCAGTTGAAGACCAAGGTGCAGGTCTCCTAGCTGCCCACAGGGTCTGTTTCCGGACATCTTCAGTGGGCTTACCAGATCTCAGGTGGGGGTCATGTACCTGGAACCTGGTGTGCAACACTCTCAAAGGCGGTCTGGGCTGGAGCACAGTGCCCTTTCCTCTTGCACCCTGCCCACCCATCCAGTGATCCTCCACTCCTCGTCCAGCCTCCCTTGCCCCACGTCCTGGTTACTACCACCACTGAAGGACACACTCCCAGGGATTTGATGACCCTTCCACAGGGATCCCACTTCCTAGGTCCCCTCAGTCCCTCAGAGCCACCTCCCTCACCCTAAGGCCCCCAGGTGGAATATACCCCTCTTGGGCTTCACCCCTCAACAGCTTGCTGGGGACCCCAACTTCTGGTGCCCGCTTAGTCCCTTCCATAGGAACCACCAGTCACCTTGCATTCTCAAGAAATTGCTCCACCTCTCAGGAACCCCCTTCTGGTCACCCGGCCCTCTCAGGTCCCCTCAGCCACTTCAGGTCCCCTCAGGTCTACTCAGGTCCCCTCATCCACCTCAGGTGCCCTGGCCCGCCCCCTCAAGTCCTCTCAGGTTCCCCTGGGCCCCTCAAGCCCCCCGGCCCCCTTATCCCCCTCAGGTCCCTTGGCCTCCTTAGGTCCTCTTGGGTCCCACAGGTCCCCCTGGCCTCCTCAGGTCCCCCAGCCCCTCACCCCGCCTTCCCCTCGGTCCCCTTCCGCGCGGCCCCGCCCCCGCCCCTCCCGCCCCGCCCCTCCCCTCCCCTCCCCTCCCCTCCCCTCCCCCGCAGCGGCGGCCCGGCGCGCGTCATGGCGGCGGCGGGCGGGGCGCGTCTCGCACGCAGCGCGCCGGGCGGAGCGCTCGCCGCATTGTTTGCTTCGCTGGGGAGCGAGCGGCGGTCCGGCCGGTGTCCGAGCAGCCCCGCGCCCGCGCCCGCGCCCGCGCCGCTCCGGCGGCCCCGAGCCCGCTGCCGCCGGCGCCCCACCCCCGAGCCGCGGCGCCCTGCGGGCCCGGAGCCGCCGCGGCCGAGCGCGCCCCGGAGCCCGGCGGGGCCCGCAGCGCGGCCGTTGGCGGAGCAGCCGCGGCGCCATTAGCGCCGCCTCGGCCGCGCCGGCCCCCGCGCCCGCCCGCCCGCCGGGCTCCCGCGGCCGCGGCGCCCAGAAGGTGAGTGGCGGCGGCGTCCCGGCCCCGCGGCGCCCGCCTCCGGCCTCCCGGGCGGCGCTGCCGGCGCCATGTTTGGCGGCGGCGACGGCGGCGGCTCCGCATTGTCCGCGGGCGGCCGGGCGGGGGAGGCCGGGCGGGGGAGGCCGGGATCGGGGCCGGGGGCCGGGCCGCCGCGGATGCCGGGATCGGGCCCGGGAGGCCGGGCAGGCGGGCGGCGGCCCAGGAAGCGGAGGAGGCCGCGGCGGGGCGGCGGGCGGGCGGGGCCGGGGCGGGAGGCGGCGGGTCCCGGGCGCTGCCCACGTCCGCCCGGCCCGCGCCGCGCCGGCCCATTATGTAACCGCCGGGCCGGGCCCCAGTGCGCGGTCGGCCCCGCCGAGGCGGCCCGCTCTGCCCAGCCGGCCCGCGGGGGAGGCCCGGCGCCGCTGCGCGGGGAGCCGGCGCGACGCGCGGCCTTTGTGGCCCGCAGCTTCGCGGGGAGCCCGGGCGGCCCGCGCCGGTGTCCGCGGCCGGGGACGCTGGGCGTGACCCGCCTCCTGCCGAGTGGCGCGCCCACGCCGGCCGGCGCCTCGCCCGAGGGGCGCCCCGTGGCGGAGGCCCGCGGCCGCCCCGGGCTCGCAGGAAACGCCCGCGCAGTGGCCTCCTGCCCGCTGGGCCGCGCGGGGCCTCGGCAGCGGCGCTCGTCGGGGGCGGGTCGCGGCCCTGCGGAGCGCCCGGAGGGCTCGGGTGCAGGCCAGGCTCAGCCGGGGGCCTGGGAAGTGACGAGGCACAGGAGGTCGCGGCCGCTGTGGACGGTGCTCCGGTGCCCGCTCTTCTCCGCTTCTCTGGTCACGGTTGCACTTTGGGACCACAGAGCTGCTGGGAGCCTGGAGGGTCGGGTTGAAGGGCCGCTTGCGGTTAGAGTCACTGGGTGCTTTGTTGTAGAGGAGAGAATTACACATTTTCTTTAATCTGGTGAGTGACCAGCTGTTGCTTCTGCCTCACCTCAGTGATGGCACATTAGGCTGACCCTGGGTGCAGCATCCAGCTCGCCTCAAAAGCAATGGCATGGGCTGCTGCTGGAGTCCAGTGCCAGCTGGGGTGGCTTTGCTGGCAGCTGCTTGGGAATCCAGGTTTGAATTTGCATCTGGAGGCCCCCTCAGATGCAGGTGACTTAGGATTTGACTGACCAGTCTTTGATGTCCTCTCTAGGAAGTTGCTACCTGATTTCTATACAAAATGCAGGTTTTTGCAACCCGAAGGGTCTGTCTTTAAAAGTGCATTTAGGATTTGCTGGAATTTCCTTTTTGGCCTTAGAAAGTGAAGTCTGCTCTTTGAGGGGATTTCCTGAAGATCAGCTAGATCACTGACGCTGTGACTTCGCACTCTGAGGTACCTGATGCTGGGCTTTGCTGATGTAGGCTTCATCAGTCACTCAAAAGTTCCCTGTTAGCAACATGTGGTTGTGTGTGTGTGCGGGGGAAGGAGTCTGAGCAGTCCTTGTCATTGTTTGGCAGGCGGAGGTCTATAGTTGGCATGTGTTCACGTGAGGTGCCTAGACATCAAGCCATACTGGGCAAAACTGGAAATAGATGCTGTCGGTGGCATTTAAACAGGAGGAGTCTCCACCACAACAAGGTGGAGGTATAGGCTGATAACTCACTGGTTCTGCCTACCTCTGAAAAGAGCAGATTCTAATAAACTTCTGTGGCCAAAACTCGGCCACCTGAGCCAGCAATGGGGACCCTCCTAGTGTGTGTAGGCAGTGTGGGGCTTTTGGCAGCGTGGGGTTTGGGAGGGTCCACTCTTGCTATGGAGAAGGCGCTGAGCATCTCATTTGCAAATGTGTCAGGAAGAACAGATGCCCTTTGGCATGCTGTACGTACCTGGGTTTATTTGGGAAAAAAGAAAAAAGACAAGGTCTATATAGTGGTCACCCTGAGGGGGAGGGGCAGGCTGGCACTGCCTGCAGAAACTGCATCGGGCCACCCAGAGGTAGTGCTGTCCCCACAGGCCAGTACAGGGTTATTTTGGGTCCTGCTGTGGCTGGTGGCCCTGGTCTGGGTGTGTGTGTGTGTGTGTGTGTGTGTGTGTGTGTGTGTAGGACGTATTTGTGGAGAGGATGGACAGGCTTACATTGTTGGGACATGAACAGAAGCTTCTGGCTCCCAGTGGAGGTGCTGTGAGGACTATGGGCTCACAGGGGCACTCTGCTGGGCAGCAGTGGAGAGAGGAGTTTATAGGGGGCCTTTGTTAGGACCAGGTAGCCACTGAACATGTCTACCTTGTAGCCACAGCCTCTGAGCCTGGTGGGCTCAAGCTCTGGGCATGGGTTTCCCCAGTGGGTTGTCTGTACACCAGAATAACACTCCTGCATTTGTGGGCTGGATCCTGGGGCGCTCTGGAGTGCTTGTTGCTGTTCTCTGGGTTACCTTTGGCTTGGTCTAAAAAGGTAACTGGCTGAGTGGTGGGGATCAGGGCCCTTGCTGTCCTGTACTGCCTCCCCGCCTGCTGCCATTTCCAGTCCTGGGACACTCTTGAAGTGTAGTCATGACTCCTGGGAGTAGGAGTTTGGAAACTTCAGAAGTGTGTTAACTGTGAGTTCATTTTGGGGGTGTTGCCCCTGCATACTTGTGTGCTTTTCTCCGGTCTCTTGTCACTCTACATGTAATTAACTTTTCCTTTGATTCTATTTCAGGTAATTATTGCCAAATGAGGAGGAAAGGACGATGTCATCGAGGCTCTGCAGCGAGGCATCCTTCCTCCCCGTGCAGTATTAAACACTCTCCCACCCGAGAAACGTTGACGTACGCTCAAGCTCAAAGGATGGTTGAGATAGAGATTGAAGGGCGCTTGCATCGGATCAGTATTTTTGATCCCCTGGAGATCATATTGGAAGATGACCTCACTGCTCAAGAAATGAGTGAATGCAACAGCAATAAAGAAAATAGTGAGAGGCCACCTGTTTGCTTAAGAACTAAGCGTCACAAAAACAACAGAGTCAAAAAGAAAAATGAAGCCCTTCCTAGCACCCATGGCACACCGGCCTCAGCCAGTGCCCTTCCTGAGCCCAAGGTTCGGATTGTGGAGTACAGCCCTCCGTCTGCGCCCAGGAGGCCCCCCATGTACTACAAATTCATCGAGAAGTCGGCTGAGGAGCTGGACAACGAGGTGGAGTATGACATGGATGAGGAGGACTACGCCTGGCTGGAGATCATCAACGAGAAGCGGAAGGGTGATTGTGTCTCTGCTGTGTCGCAGAACATGTTTGAGTTCCTGATGGACCGCTTTGAGAAAGAGTCATACTGCGAGAACCAGAAGCAGGGGGAGCAGCAGTCCCTGATTGACGAGGATGCCGTATGCTGCATCTGCATGGATGGGGAGTGTCAGAACAGCAATGTGATCCTCTTCTGTGATATGTGCAACCTGGCCGTGCACCAGGAGTGCTATGGCGTGCCCTATATCCCTGAGGGCCAGTGGCTCTGCCGCCATTGCCTGCAGTCCCGGTCCCGTCCCGCGGACTGTGTGCTGTGCCCCAACAAGGGCGGTGCCTTCAAAAAGACGGACGACGACCGCTGGGGCCATGTGGTGTGTGCCCTGTGGATCCCAGAGGTTGGCTTTGCCAACACGGTGTTCATCGAACCCATCGACGGTGTGAGGAACATCCCTCCGGCCCGGTGGAAATTGACGTGCTACCTCTGTAAGCAGAAGGGCGTGGGCGCCTGTATCCAGTGCCACAAAGCAAACTGCTACACAGCATTCCACGTGACATGTGCCCAGAAGGCTGGCCTATATATGAAAATGGAGCCTGTGAAGGAACTGACTGGTGGTAGCACCACCTTCTCAGTCAGAAAGACCGCTTACTGTGACGTCCACACGCCTCCTGGTTGCACACGGAGGCCTCTGAACATTTACGGGGATGTTGAAATGAAAAATGGCGTCTGTCGTAAAGAGAGCTCAGTCAAAACGGTCAGGTCCACGTCCAAAGTCAGGAAGAAAGCAAAAAAGGCTAAGAGAGTGCTGGCTGAGCCCTGTGCAGTCATGCCAACTGTGTGCGCCCCATATATTCCCCCACAGAGGTAAGCGCGTTTGAACACTGAGTGAAGAGTAAGCCTGGAGTGGGGGACCTGAGGGGGACGTGGGTTCATGCCTGCGGAGAGCCCTGCCAGATGGCCTTCCCACTTTGTAGTAGTCAGCTAAAGTGCCTTGCACTCACTTTCGGGGGCAGTGGTATTGTAAAAGACTTGCGGAGGATTTACAGTTTCCTTCGTGCCTAACTGGTCTGCAGAATAAGCCAGATACGGTCATGGTAAGGATGGCCACACTAGTGTTCACTGCATCAAGATCTCTGCCTCATGGTGGCTGCCATCCCACAATTGGTTGGAAAAGTGAAACTGATCAATAAGGCAGCCCCTGAAGCGGAGATTAGAATGGGATTTATGTCGAGTGGTAGCTGTGGGGAAGGAGATGGTCTTCTCCGTCCCGCTGTCCTGCTTTGTGGCAGGACATTTTTCTGATAATTTCTTTCTTTCATTTTTTTTTTTTTTTTCTTTTGGTTTGGGTGGTGGGGAATTGAACCCACGGGGCTTAACTACTGAATCGTATTTCCAGACCTTTTGTTTTTTTAAATTTTGAGATGATTTTACTAAATTGCTTAGGGTGACACTAAATGTTAAAGCTGGCTTTGAACTTGTGATCCTCCTGCCTCAGCCTCCTGAACCTCTGGGTTTACAAGTGTGCACCTCCACACCCGGCAGATAGTTTCTTTAGTAGTGCAAACATTGCTTGATCCATAGAAGTGCTCTCTGATTGGTGCTAGTTCCTGGTGGTTGGAATCTAGCCCAGCCCTGTTCTTTTATGTGACCCAGGGGTTGTTTCAGATCCTCCTGTATATGTCTTGGTCTATCTCCATCTCACAACTTGTATCTTCTTGACCTGTTCTTGTTGTTACTGACTTGCTCTGTTTGTTCCCTTATCTTGAAAAATGCTCTTTGCCAGTGGGCCTGATGGCCACCCCTGTAATGCCAGCTACTCAGGATGCTGAGGTAGTAGGATCATGAGTTCAAGGCCAGCCTGGGCAACTTAGTGAGATCTTATCTCAAAATAGAATAACATTTAAGAAAAGCATTTGGGTGGGCTGGAGTTGTGGCTCAGTGGTAGAGCGCTTGCCTAGCACGTGTGAGGCCCTGGGTTGATCCTCAGCACCTCGTTAAAAAAATAAATAAAATAAATATATTTAAAAAAAAGGGGGGGGGGATTGATGCTGTAGCTCAGTTGTTGAGTGCTTGCCTAGCATGTGAGGGCCCAGAGTCCAGTCTTTTGGTACTGCCAAAAAACAAAAAAAGGCTCTTTGCCTGCAAATATAAGGTAAGTGAGTGGATGAGTTTTACACTGGAGCCTGTGAGTGACAAGAAAGCACTCCTTTTCCAGGTGAACCTGGCTCCTTTTAGACCCACGTGAACACTTCCTGGAACTTTGAGGAAGTGACACAGCTTCTGTGTAGGGTGTGGGCTTCTGAACAGTCTGGTCAGGTTGGTAATGCCTAGAGACAGTGAGGTGCAGAGGAAAGTTGCTCCTACAGGTGCTTTTATGGTGTCTTCTTGCAAACTGCTTTGTTTTCAGATGGGGCACATGCATTAATAAAATTGTACTTTTCTGCGAATGAATGGAAGATAGATATGCAGGATATTTTTATTACTAAATGTTTTTGACATTGAATGTTGTTAGCCTTTATGTGTTATTTCCCAAGGTTTGTAGTGGTTTGAAGTTATTCATGCTTATCAGTACACTGTGATTAATGTGCCGCAAGTGTACAGCAAGCTAGCTCACTGGCTGGGCTAGGGGTGTGCTGGAGTCTTCCACTTAGAAAACAGGTTTCACCCTAATAGGAGCGAAGACTAACTTTATATTAGCAGTTAAGAGTTTGAAAATAATTTCTGTAAATGTTGTTTTATTTCACTGACCTTTTCCCCAAATGGTTTCTTATCACAGAGCTGTACATAGTCATTACAGAATTGTAAGTTCAAAGTGAGTAAAATGTGTTTACAGTCCCTCTCCTTCAGAGAAGACCCCTGTCAAAACCAAGGTGCCTGTCTTTACAGATCAGTCAGCCTGACCTGAAAGACTTTAACTGGGATTCCTACTTGTGAGTCAGAAATGATGGGAATGTATCAAGAGCATTTGTTTAAGAGGCCTAAAAATTTCAGCTTAACCAAAATTGAAATGAAACAAAAATGCAATCTCCAAAAGGGAAAAACTAGCAGTGCTCCTTTCTCTGACTAGCATCATAAGATTACCTGCTCCAGATGAAGGCAGGGCCTGTTGACATTTCACACCCCAGTCCTGTGGTTCCCATTGTTTAGGTTTTGGGACAGCAGAGCCCATCAGGTGGGCAGGGCTGTGGGCAGGAGAAAGCATTGGCAGGTGGAGGATGTGGGGACTCCTGGCCGTAGTGGCCAGGGCTGCTTTGGATCTGAATATTTCAGAGTAGATGGTGTGGCTTTGCAGTCTGGGTGATGTCCTTCCTTCCTTCCTTCCTTCCTTCCTTCCTTCCTTCCTTCCTTCCTTCCTTCCTTCCTCCCTCCCTCCCTCCCTCCCTCCCTCCCCCCCCCCCAAGTTTAGAAAGAAACATCCAGCTTTGAGCAGAGACAGAAAGGCACACCTGAGCAAGTGTGTTTGAGGCCTTACTGTCTGAGTGTCAGGTCTCGCAGAGATGCTGGTGTTTCAGGCTACCTTGCCCCCTGGGACAGGTTCCCACTTCCTGTGCTCTGCTTGTGTAAGATGTTCAACCCACCTTGCAAGATGTGAAGGGCAGGCCCTGAGCACTGTGATGGGTGTTGTTGGAGACTGAGGTTTGCTGGCTGCTGCCCATGGCTGAGTTTGCAGCAGATCTGGTGGCCCTTCTTAAGCCCGAGATACTGCCCTTGGTGTTTTTGCACCCTTGGTTGGGGTTCCATGTGCAGTTGTTCAGGCTTTGCATTTCCTTTGGCCTCTGGGTCCAGAGCACGTGTCCAGATCAGCTCAGAAGGCCCATCACATGGAAGGAGGACATAGGCCTGATCCATTGAAGTGGTTGTTTAGAGATTTTAGAGAAAGTATCTTCCTTATATAATTTTCTAATGTTTAGCATTTCTATATCACAAAGATTGCATTTTATTTCTTTCTCTTAAGCTATAGATTGTGAACATCATAAGGATATTCCTGGCTTTGCCTACGCATTTGGGAACTTCCTCTGGAGTTGGTGCTAGAGGGGCTGTTTTCATCGGTGGCTGCCCAGATGACTCATTTGGAGCTCTCTGGTGGCACCCACCCCAGCCCAGCTGTCGAGCTGCTTGGCCTTCTCTGTGTGAGGATGTACTGTCTTCTGCTCTGATTGGACATTGTGGGTTTCTTATTGTTATGCCTGCAGGGGTCTCAGCCTTCAAGCCTAGTGGGCAGCTGCAGAGGTTTTGGAACAATTGTGGCAGTATCTCAAGAGTCATGCTCCCTTGTTTCTGTGTCTTCCTCACTTTTTTTTTTTTTTTGGTGATGCTAGGGATAGAACCCAGGGCCTTGTGCATGTGAGGCAAGCACTCTACCAACTGAGCTATGTCCTCAGCTCCTTCCTCAACTTCTTCTAAGAAAAGGGTTTCCAACACAGAGATAAGAATAGGTATGTGCCACTAAGTGGCGGTGCCATCTGAGAAATATGTGTCAGTAGTGATTCTGTCCTTGTTCTACCATCAGAAGCCTGGATGGTCTGGGTCAGTCACCTGGTAAATGAGATATGAGAGGCTGCAGCTGATGCATTCTATTTTACTATAAACTTTTTTTTATAACAAGGATTTACTCCAAAACAATCGTTAAAAATATAGTTCAGTAAATACACCAGCCAGTGATGTTGCTGATTTTCACGGTCAAGTACTATGTACTGTGCATGCCTATATCTGCTGTACTGTGACAAGCAGTGCAGCAGGTTTCTTTACACCAGTGTCCTCACAGACATTATATTGATGGTGGATGTGGTGGCACATGCCTGTGGTCTCATCTACTGGGGAGGCTGAGGCAGGAGGGTTGCTTGAGTGCACGGATTCTAGGCCAGTCTGAGCAACATAGTGAGACCCTGTCTTCAGAAAAAAAAAAAAAAAAAGTGACCATACTATGAGGGAACTGGTCATAGGAATTTCCAGTCTGTCATACTTTTATGGAACTATCTTCGTATGTGTGGTCCCCAGTGACTGAAATCTTATGCTCTGTGTGACTATATTTAAAATTGGGTAAGACAGAAGACGGAGAGTCTAAATTAGAAAGCAAAATTCCTTTTTTCCTTTACTTTTTTCCTAAGAAAAATCACATTTTGATGATTTTGTTTTGGGTACTGGGGATTGAACCTAGGGGTGCTTAACCACAAAGCCACATCCCCAGCCCTTTTTATATTTTATTTAGAGATGGTCTTACTAGGTTCTAAATTACTGAGGCTGGCTTTGAACTCTAGATCCTTCTTCAGCCTCCCAAGCTGCTGGAATTACTGGGGTGCGCTGCTACACCTTGTTTGATGCTTGTTCAGGGAGTCATTTGCCTCTGCTTCTCCAGTGGAATTTGTTTTCTGCTCACTCATCCATTTCATGCTGTTTCATGGGATAGGAGATGGGACAAGCCAGGGAATGTTCTGGAAAGAAGGGACAGGTAAGGTTCCTTTAGAGTCATGAGCTCTGCGTCCCTTAAAACATCAAACCTGGTAACTCCTGCTTGGGTTGTGCCTGGGGTACTCTTTCTCTTCAGAAGAAGAGAAGCCAGGTAGCTCATGTTTGCTCTGATCCGCGCTTGGGCTCAGAATGCAGTCGTGGGTACCCTTAGCTACTGGGATCATTGTGCCTAGTTTATCCAGTGCAGAAGCCTGGGTAGTGGGCATGCTATTGGGTAAATGATGATGGTGTTCCTTGTGTGTGGTGTTCACGGTGGGGCCCTGCTGCTGCTGGTGGGCACCCTCTGCCCTGCTGCCACCAGATGAGGACTGAAGTAGAGCACGAGTGCCTAGTTGACACTTCATTATCAGGGTCATGTCATACTTTTTTGAGTGTGACAATACAAAGTTCTGGGG